TTATGAATATCAAAATACCTATATCATGAGAAGAGACCTAGATAATTTCACAGCAAGTAATGATGGGATGGCAGAGAGCTCTGAATTGAGGTCTCCTCAGACTATTTCCACTAATCATCGTTAGTGACATCATTAAGGCTATTAAATGTCAACATCTTATATAGCTAAATTTACAACATAAGGGCTATGGATTATTTGTTTGATTATGGAATATTACTTAGGAATATTCAAAACTTCTAAACCCAATTTGCACTTTTCTGCCTTTATCTCACTTGATCTCTTAGCAGCTTTAAGCATAGTGGAATATTTTCTTTTCTTTGGTCAGCTCTTTTACTTTTTATTTTTTATTCATACATGGTTTTCCATCTACCAGACTGAGCTCTCCTTACTGATTCCTCCTCTTTAGCTAAACTTCTAAATGCTGAGTGCATAGCCCTCCTTACTGTCTTCCTCCTCTCTTGAAAATTTGTCTTTAGGTGCTTTTATTTAATAGCATGGCTTTAAATAGCACCTCTGTCTTTAGCCCTGATCTCTCGATTAGACTTCAGACTCAGATATCCTACTGTCTACTTGACATCCTTAGGTTGCTGATAGGTGTCTCACATTTAATCTGGCCAAAACAGAACTCTTGATTTCCCATCTTCAAGTCTGTCCCTTTGTTCAATTTCTCTCATTTCTTGGTAAATAGCACAATTTACTCACTTGACCAATCCAGCAATGCAGAAATAACCATTTTTCTTCTCTCTAGCCAACAAATCCTGCCAGCCCTGCTTCTAAAATACATCCAGTTCTCTCCCATTTCATTGTGAGACCCCAGCCTAAATCACCGTCATTTCTTGCTTACAGTATTGCAATAACCTCATAATATTGACTTCCTGATCCTTTTCTCTTTCCTTTTCATTCTTCAAGTAAGAGCAGACAGTGTTATTCTTAAGTATGAATCAGACATTGTCCCTCCCATCTAAGTTGCTCTCTCTACTCTCTACTGCATTTGGAATAGAATAATCTTTCCATAATTTGTATATCCCTACATAATCCTGTCTCTGCCTGAGTCTCTGATTACTTCTACTTCCACTTACAGCATTGCTCACTAAGGTCTAGTCCCTCTGCTTCTTTTTTTGTGCCTCAAAGGAACTAGATTTGTTCTACCTTTAAATTTCTGCATATTGTTATTTGAGTTTATTTGCTTCTTTATTTTTTTAAATTTCTTCCTCCATTAGGATGTAACATTCCTTAGAACCTCATCTATCTTAGCCACATTCCAATTCAAGAAAAATAAGAGGGGAACCCCAAAACACTGTCTCTTCTATTTTCTAAACAGTACATAGTGCCATTCCAATAATTTGCTCTTTCAGACAATTCAAGGAAAGTTAGAATTATGGCTATAAAAGTGACTCATAGAACTGATATAAGTACATAAAAATTGAAACCAATCTTCTGGGTTTTGTTGACAAATGCTCTTGTTTTAAATATCTGTTACCATGCTCAGACTCTTACCATTAGCACATATAACTAGGATTGTGGTAGGCTTAGAATACAGGAAGGAGATAGAAGTAAGATAAATTATTAAACTATAAGGAATTAATATGTCTTAATAATTAGGGACCTCTTTTATTAAATGACATTTTTAATAGGAGATAATAGGTAGAATATCAGAGCAGTAAATACCTGTGTGGGCAGAGGTTGCATTTAAAGGTATAAAAGGGTGCAGAAAGGAGGGGATGGGAGATGTTGATAAGCTTTATTTACATCACATTTAGTTTTAAATCTACATGCAACCATTCAGTTATGAGACAGTATACATTAAAAATAGTCTTTGCTGAGCATATGCTACTTAAAATAACAGTAATTTCATGTTTGACCATTGAAATTTATATGGTTTTAACTATTTTCTGATTACAAGAAGCATATATTTAATTTTCCAATTAATAAGTTGTTGATTTCCTCCCTCTGATAACAAACGCCAAATTTTTTTAAAACTACAATTTATAGTGCATTATAAAGTAGCATAGATGTTACTGTGCCCATGGATTCTGCCATGTTTTTGTGTGTAAAAATCAGTTGTCAGAATTTGTGTCAGGTCATTTCAATTTAAAAATATAGTCATTGTGATTATTCCAGAGTTTGAGTCATTCCTATCAGCTTTTGATTTTTAAGGATATTCCACTTTTGCTTGTGATAAGTTGTCATTTTGAATGAAACAGATTTAACGCAAACATTGTGCTCTGACACTGAGGTGTCACTCTTGATCTTAACCTCCAGGGAAGCCTTGATCACCAACATTTCAAAACCTCTCTCATCAAGTTTATGAAAGCCTCTGCCACATCCATCTGTAACTCTCAGGCCTCATTTTTCTGCTAATTTTTATTTTTTACTTTTTTTGAGACTGGGTTTCTCTGCTGTCTAGGCTGGCCTTCAACTCCTGGGCTCATGTGATTTTCCTGCCTCAGCTGCCTGAGTAGTCGGGACTCAGGTGTGTGCTACTGAAACTGGCTGAGGCTTCATTTTTCTTAGCAGCATTTGACCTCTTGGAACATTCTCTGCACAGTGAAATTCTTTTCTTGGATGCTGAATTTTTTCCAGGTCTCCCTCTTCGTTTCTTTGGCCACACCATTTTCCTTTCTTGAGCTCTAAGTGATGAGACATCGCTGGGCTCATTTCTCAGACATCTTCTCTATCACTGCTCAGCGATCTCAGCCAGTAAATGAACAGAAGCTATTTATATACTGGTGAGTCCTCACATTACTCAACCCCAAATATTTGTCTTCATATAAAACCTCCTTGACAACTCCTTTTAGAAATAAAGAAGGCTTATAAAATTTAACCCATCCCAAACAATACTTGATTTCTTTTTTTTTTTTTTTTAACTGCAAGACTCACTTTTCTGAGTTCCTTATCTCCATATATGACAATGCTATTCAACCATTTTGGATTGGAAAGCTCTGGCATTGTCTTTGACTCTTCTTTCAACCCCACATCTAATTAATTATCAAGTTTTATACCTCCATTTGAAGTATAACCTACAGGTCTGCTTTTCAGCAACTCTGCTACTACCACTATAAGTGAAAGCCATCTCACTGTCGTCTAGGTGGTGGCAATCTCCTTGCCGCCACTCTCTAGGGAAGACTGGATTTTAGATCTCCCCTAGAGTTTGTTCTTCCCCCTCTAATCTGTTCTCTACCTTCTAGACCAAGAGGGGCTTTAAAAACATGTTAGACCTTGATAAGGCCTCCCTATTTAAGATGCTTTAGTGGATTTCTCTCTACTTAGGATAAAACCTAAACTCTTCTCCTGGTTCATGAGACTGCATGCAATCTGGTCCTTGTCCTAGTGATTATTCAGCACCCTATTGCTACCTCCCTATTGATCTCTGTTCTCTTACCTTTTACTCAATCCTGGCTCTATTCAAATGTCCCAACCTCAAAAAGGGTGACTTCTCAAACATCTATTAACTATCATAATCTCTACCTTTACCTTTCTGCTATTTTATTTTTATACAGCATTTATCCTCAACAGAAATTATATCTCATATTTATTTCTTAGCTTTTTTTTTAAATTCACTCCCCTACTGTAATATAAGTTTCACAAGGGCAGGGACTTTACTTTATTCATAGCATTTAGCTCAATGTTTAGTACTTAGCAGCCCTTATAAATATTTGGTGAATTATTAAATTAATGATTTATATCGAGGGAGAAAAAAATTGTGCACAAATTTCGATCTTATATAAAAATTAAGAAGTTATAGAGAGATGTCAGTACAGCGAGTCATGGTGGATATATGAAAGTTATGCTATTATGGTAGGTAAAAAAGAAATTGAGGGTAAGTGGCTATGTGATGGATCACTACTTTGAGGTGTACCAATCTGGATCTCACAGCAAAGGCTCTGTGTCATAAACCACACCATCATATTGTTTTCTTTGAGGCATGAGAGTGGTATCAGTCCATCGCTGACCTTGGGCTGCCTGAGTGTGGGGGAGGTAACTTTCTGGGCAAAGTGGGCCCCCTCAGAGTAGGGGAAATTGAGAACCATTAGCAGTCAACACGTTAGCAGCTGGGGGATGCTGCATTAGCTAGTAAAGGGGGTCAGAGAATGGTTCTCTTCATTTGGTTCACAATGTTTCCTATAATCATGTAGAAAGGGGCTGATAGTGAAGCATATTCATTCATTTCGTTCAATAGAAACTTATTGGGGCATGTCATAGGCCAAGTGTTACTAGTTGCTTGGATGTGGTGATGAATTGACATGGTTCCTGCAACATGCATAGGGAAAAACAGAGCTATTAATAGAATAAATATGCAGTCATAATATAGCACTGAATTATCTGTGCTATAATCAAATAATGAGTTGAAATTCAAATAATAAATTGAAGTAATATTGTAAAAATAAGTCCATGATACTGGACTTTATTTTAAAAATGGTTCTTGCTGCAACTTCTAGGTTCTAATATAAGAATTGATATATTGTGTGCATATACACTTGTATTATGGACTTTTTATACAATGTGAGCATTACTGTGTTTAAAAACAGCAAAATTCATTGAACAACCAAAATAACCCCCCTTTGAATAAATAGATACAGGTGTCTATGTTCCAAGAAAAATTTGAGTATCAATATTAACGGTAAGACCTGCCTAAAAAGTATGAAAGGAAAATCCGTTGTTATACGTTACATTATTAGAAACAAAGGCACAAAACATTTTTAATAACCAGTAAACTGGATACTAGCAAATATCTACCTGTAGTGCCTGATTCTACCTATATTAATCTTTAAAAAAATCTTTGCATAGTGCTGTGGAAAGTACTGTACTGAAAAACAAGCCAGCTAATGAGCAACATAGTACTTGTCAGTAAAACAGTGTTTTTACTTTTTTCTAAAAAAAAACATAGAGCAAAATTTCAAAGGAATATAATTCTGTCAAAGTGTCACCAAACCATCTCTTTAGGAGGATGTAGTGCCAGCAGAAACAACAAGGCTTATTTTCAGTATTTCTGTTCATACCTCAAATCCCTGTGGTCTTCCTAGACTCTCTTTAATATGTTTCCATGCAACAAGAATCTCTGACACAGACACACTTGTAGCCTTGACATCCGTGGGAGCAGCACTGGGTTCTGCATGAAGGAAAATGGAAATAAGAAGCCAGGACTGTAACAAGTTATATCTATCAAAACACTATACCTAAATGTATCAGGGGTTCACTTCTTTCTATCTTGTTTTGAAATGATATGCTATAATAGCTATGAAAAACTCAAGATAAAAAGGTGGTTTTGGATTTCTTTATATGGGTCAAATCTCATCAATAACTTACCAATGACAAATGACAAATCTTTATCCTTGGATTAGCTAGGACATTTCTAGAGAAGTTAAATGGTCTGATTTAAATTGTCTGATAGTCTAGCATAATGATGAAGGAATGGGCTATGCAGTTGGACTTGGCTCTTTTTGTAGTGGTGGTGAATTTTTGCCTTTAAAAATTATTCAGTTATTCATGATTACACAATATATGCATATATTGAAAAACATCATGTGGTACCCCATTAACATGCATAAGTTTTGTGTTTTTATGTTTCAGTTCATGAAATCCTTTTTTATTCATTATATTTATTTATTTAGCTTTGGGTAAATTGCTTTACCTCCTCCTAACCCCTCATTCCCCCATCTGTAATATGGGAGTGATTAGAATTGTATCTTACAGAATTTTAAGATTCATTTTAACAGAAATAATATCTATAAAACATTTAGTTCTAAGTTGCCATTTTAAATATTCAACCATAAAATGTCACATAAATATTATTGTATTTAACCCACAAAGGAGAAAATAGTCTAAATTTCATTAGATACTTTTTGATGTTCCAAACACAAAACTGCATTTCCATTCTTATGTGTAAGGAATGTGTTAAGCATCATGATATTTAAAAGGCATGCACTGACTTTTAAGACAGGTGTGGGCTGAGTCGGAAAGTCCCTGAAGGTCTTGGTGCTATTGCTCAAAACCACTTTTTCATTTGTCTCTATGTTCAGTGACCTTTCACACTATTTTTCTCGAATACACAATGTCTGACTGACATCCATCAAGAGGTGCATTTTATTTGAGGTTGCATGCTATGTGAGCAACAAAATATTTCTGGCATTGACATGGCTGAATCATAAATACTGTCACCAACACATGTTAAATGAAATAGCAGAATAAAGGCCATATATTAGGTCAAACAGTTCTGTAGAAAGCCTATTTTAAAAAACCCTACCCCACAGAAATTGTAGACTTTGATACTAACCCCATAAAAGAGTTCAGACTAATCTGCTGAAATTTATTTATTTTTTTTCAGATTCAGGAAACCACATAGCAAAGATAGAATTCTAAATAAGATTTTTAAAGGCCTTATGACAGACTTCAAAAGAATTGTGGCCATATTCTGAAATCTTTCCTTTTATAATAGAAAGTAGTCATACATCTGCCTGAAATGATTTTGTATGTTATTAATTGAAAAAGATCTGTCAAAAGCACTTACCTGTTGCTGTCAAAGAAGCCCATAAAAGACTTTTTCAAAGGTATAGATTTGTAGCAAGCAACGATTTTTCTTAGGTAAAACCCTCATTAAAATCATCTGTTACAATTGTGTAAACTCAAAGTGCTTTGGTAAATTTAGTCTATGTACAGAAGTCAACATTAATACTGGTCATAGTATAAATAATGATTTCTCATTCTGTCACCCTCTGAATATCTTCTATTATTTTCCTTTGTTCAGTGGTTTCCCTCATCCTATTTTCCAACTTCCTATTAATTGTGTATCTACCCAATTTTTACCCAAAAAAAGGTGAATTCTGGGAAAAGCTTCTAGTTCTATTTCATTCTAGAATTATGGTTTGCAGATTTGTAATAGACTTCTTTTTTCTCCATTGTTATTTCACAGGAGTTAAAATTCTTGATTTTGCCTGTAAATTAAAGGACATGCTGATATTTTGAGTTGTGTACAACTTGATCTCTAGGATTTAGGACTGATATATTTCTAAGAGAGCCATGCTTTGGATATCACTTGCTATTCAGTAATAGATTTGCTTCTCTTTAGAATGAATGCATTGCATTACAGAGATTTGTGTGCCAAAAGCCTTCTTTTAGCTTTTATATTATTGAAGCAATTACATCTTTGTCAAAGAAGATTGCAGGGGGATACATAATTTTGGAAGCACAAAGCATGTGGTTGGGCAGCAGCCTTTCTATCCTTCCTTTTCTCTAAAGAAAGAAATTGAGCTTGCAAGAGTACTATATGCATTTAAACACTCCTCAAATAGAAAATTTTAAATGTTATACTCCATGTATGTATTAACACGTCAAAATACACTCTCATGTATATCTAAAAAGATCAGATAAAAAAAGAATAAAAAATATTCACAAAACTACTTCCTAAATAAGCACCTTAACTATTTAAAAGCTCTGAGGATTTAAAATTGGGGTCAGAACCATCCTGACATTTTACAGTTGAGTTCTTGGGGCTGTGCATTACAGCTACATCTAATTGAATGAGGGTGAATGAATCATACCCGATCTACTTTAATTTGTTTCACCTTCAGGATCTAAATAGTTTCAGATGTACACCCATGCTGACCTAACTTGGAAATTTCAGCATGGAGATTTATTCCGGAAGTTTTAGTGTGTACTGTCTATAGCCAAGTGAGCAAGAAGTTTGTCTGCAGATAAGGATAACTGACTGGATCAGAGAAAGTTTAGATTGAAACTCACTGTTCTTTAGGGATCCTTCTTTAGCCAAGTGATGGAAGGCCATGACTAGAAAGAGTTTAGAAAAACACTGACATCAAATGGATGGCCAGTGGGTCTTCCGTCATTTTGTTAGTACACACAATGTGTTCAACTAAATTAATTTAAGCGCATGTTTAAGTTCTAAGGTCTGAATTTCCTTGGGGAAACAAAAGTAGAAATCAAGCCTGAATTCTTGTGTGGGAAGGTGAGGACTGGCAGTCCACTCTAACCATCAGTGTGTATTTGCCAGAGCCCTTACTTCTCCCTGTCCTCTCACAAAAAGGAAATACTTCACTTGCTTGTTTCTTAAACGACCCTTGCAGGACTTGAGTAATGGACTTGTTTTTAATATCTGCCCCTAGTTTGCAAATGCAAAAAGAGGTCAAGGTTGATTTCCCCCTTTCCCCCAAACTCTCCTCTGGTTCTGAAAGGGTCCCAGCTAGAGCTCTTCTCTTTTTAAATTAGGTGCCAAGGAAGCATTCTCAATTTTTTAGAGTCAGCTTTCAGATACAGAAGAGATCTTATAGAAAACATTCGTTTGTTCATTATTTTGTTCTTTTTCTGCCAAATTCCCTCCAATAAACAGACAGAGGCATGGGTGGGATATCATTAAGAACAAACAAAATAGATAAAGGGAAGAACTCAATGTAACAATTGCCATTTTTCTTTGAGGGTTTGCTATGTTCTTCGTTCTGTTCTGGTAACTATATTAATTAATCATCCTAAAAATTTTGTTATTACAATCACTATTACTTAGGTGAAGAAATTGAGGGGTGGTGACACTAAGCGATCCAAGGTCATTCAGAGCTAAATGGTGGAGGATGTCAGCTCCCACCACCATGCCATCAGCTGTGTGTGTCCCTGTTGCACATGCCTTATGCTGGTTTTTTTTCTTTTTCTTTTCGTTTTTCTTTTTTTGCTTTCTCTCTTCCCCTTTGCCTCTACACTTCTAACTTCTCCCAAGAGTTTGGTGTTGGGCTTCCTACTTGAGAGCTCTACTCATGAGTCTTTTCAGAAGCCACCTAGACCCCCACCATCATCTGTTTAACCCTCCACAAGCTTACAATGAACTCCTGTTACTCCTGTTGCAGGGACCACATCATACTTGTGCATTCCTAAAACTCTCCTGACCTTTAAATCATAGGGTGTTTTCTGCAGCTCTCACTCCTGTCTATTATACTCTGGTAATTTGATGAGAGCTCAGGAACTTATTTCTGAGATTATACTAGTGTTATGTCTAGTAGACTTAAGACTTAAAAGGATCTCTTTTTTCCTTCTACTTATTATATTAAGTAGGCCATGATTTTACTCCAATCTGGGGATATGACGTAGAAGGCTGATTGATAGATTTTGGTATCAGTTAGATTAAAAATTTGAAACAGCATTACCATGTTCATGAATTTAGATGATACGTTTGTATTAAGTGACCTAGCAGCTGGAGTCCTCCAAGTAATGTGGGGGGATGTGCTTGTAATATTGATTATACATCTGACTTCCCAGGAGGGGCAAGCAACAGCATTAATCAAAGGAGAGTTTAATAAACTCCTTGGGAGAAGGGTTATGGTTTCATTATTTAAAAATTCAGTAAGGACAGCTGTAGTTGAACTTTTATAGGCACTAATCCAAATAGATCATCTGGCAAAGACAGGAAATTATTCCTTGTATTTTATAACTAATATGCCAATTTATTAATTTCCAAGTTCACATAAATCCCACTGAGCTCAGTTCCAGCTAAGAACTGATTTGGAGAATAACGCCTTATGAATGTTGGGTTTTAATTTGAGCTGTGGTAGCTCTGTTTGCAAGAGGATAATTGCATATCAACTTCTTCGAATGAATAGAGGCTTTGGGGTTTTAATAAAAATAAAAGAAGCACTCTTTACATACAAAGCAAAAACCAAAGGGAGGGGGTAGTCCAGAAAAGTCTAAAGCATGTCACAAATAAATAAATCTTCTAAAACATAATTAGTGTATATTGAAATTCTGTTTTTCTATTAGGTATAAATCAATGTTCTGATTCTATCTAAAGTTATAGTAATATGTTAGATTAAATATTTCTAGAAAAAAATGCTGATTTGACCTTCATCTTGAAGAAAAATCCCTTTATTGGTTTTATTGAGCATTTTAAAATTACTTATTTTGGAAATTTGCTATTCTTTTAAAAAGATGGAACTGCTTCAAAATTATGATATTGGTAGTATTTTATCCTACCCTGTAGATCTGTAGTTGAATAAGGATTAGGAATGTACATAATTCTTGACTGGTTTAAAGTGTGTAGTTCAGTGTTAGATACAGGGTGTGTGGAAATCCTAGTAGGCAAAAATCTGTCAGGCTTATGCCAGATGCTACTTGGCACTAACAGAGCCTTTAAGGTTTACATCTATTGTGAAAATATTGAAAGGTTTCAAAGGTTCAAGGGTGTTAGAGAAGTTGCAAATGCTTCTTTTGCTGATAGTACTCTAGGGCAATAGTCAATGTCAGAAATGCAAGTCAAGGTCACATCTCAAGTGATTTACCAAATATCAATATTTACAAATGATGATTCCTTTTAATAACAGGTCAACTAAGGTTTTTCCTTTATAATAATATAATTCTCATTTGCATTCCAATATCCTTTCTTGAGAGAGGAAAAATAAAAAAGATGAAGGGTGAATGAACACAAGCATTCATAGAAGGGCATTCTGGGATGTGAATGCCATCCATCATTGATGTTCCAGTGGGAGAGGTAGAAGTAATACTCTAAGGTGAGCCTTGTTAGTCTTTCTGTGCCTCAGATAACACCAATTCTCATGGCTGAATTTTGGTTAAATATCCATCCAGAGAATAGAATACACTGTAGAGATTATTAATACTTTAATTATCATGGAAACATATTTGTCATAAATTGTTAGAGAGTGAAGAACATAAAACAACATAAATGGACTGATTTTAAAAAACACCCAAAAATATGAAAAAAAGCTTAGAAAAACATATCTAAAATGTGTAGTAGGATGTGTAATATATTTAACACATATCACCCCCCTCCAACCTAGGTCAGTGTCAGCTGTGAAAATGTGACTTTTTCATAGTGTCCTAGGCATGTAGCCAGTATTCTTGGTCAAGAGAAGAACTAAGCCCATGAATAGAAATAGAAAAGCAGTCTCATTCCGTTTGTTCTTTACTGCCTCTCCAGTATGGAAAGATTTGAAAGTGAAAGACAGTTCACTGAGTTAAAGGGAACAGTAAAGCAGCAGAATTGGTCTTAAGAAGTACAATCTCAGATCTGGTGGGCTGGGGGTAAGAGGATAATGATTAAAGACACATTGAACCTGTAAATATCCACAGGCATAGAGGAGATGAAACTGCACTGGCAGGAGTACACCCACAATTTATAGTTTTGAGTTTATTACAGGTTTAATTAAAAATTGTTTAATTTTTAAAATGGCCTCTTCTTTTCAAGTAAAGCAATTTTCCAAGGGACTAATTTGCCCTTTTTATTATATAGACAAAGTGAACTATTATTACTCCCTGTTTGGGATAGTTGTTTAAAAGAACACCTTAGAACATAGGATAAATTGACGAAATTTTAATTTTAGATTTGTGAGGATTGACAGAGACATTTTTATTTCAAAAGTTCATTATTAAAGTGTAGAAAGACAGGGCTCAGAGAGGTGAATTAACTGTCCAAGATCATTTAGTAAATAACCAGAGTTGATCTTGGGTTCTGCTACCTCTAGGCAAAAAGCTCTTCTGTCCCCTATCCTGCATGTTTGGTTGAAATTTAGTGATGGTAGCACTTTACTCATATTTACACACAGAGTTCCAAATTTTTAAATCTAATTAGTAAGCAAATGCCAAATATATTTTGAATTTTGTCATCAGAACAAAGGCAGACTCTATACATACTTAATTTGCCTGGTATCTTTCATATTTTAGTCTACAAAATAAATGAAGTGTTACTATGAAATATGTTACAGCAACAACCTCAGTGTCTTTGAAGGAAAATATGCATATTTCCTTTCTAGCTTAAAAGAGAAATCTCCAAAGGCAAGCCATTTCAAGTTTAAGGGAACACAGTATTAAAAAAATGGTGGCTGCTATAATTTAATTTCAAAGCAAAGGTTGTCAAGAAACTTACAAACTCGATTTCTTAAAGGCAGCACTGGCATTAACATACAAAGCATGTTCACAAACTTCTGCAACTCACCTCATGTGACCTTTGGGACTGTGTGCTTGATAATTAGGTTGAAGCAATTTTAAAGCAACAAGAATATGCACTTCCTGAATAAAACATGTACTTGAAGATAGATATTTGGAGTAATAAATAATAGAAAATATCATAATTACATACATTCCTGGTGAGACAGTATAGGGTAGTAGTTAAAACATGTGCTTTGGAATCATATAGGTCTAGTGAAAATCTCAGCTGTGTCACTTACTGGTGTGAACTTGGGCATGTTAGTTAGGTTCACAGACACCTAGTTTTCTAAAAGGTAGATTGAGCTTGAGCTCCTGGCCTCTTGTTTGGTTTTAAGTGTTACATTAGGTAGTATAAGTAATACGGCACAGTGGCTGTATTGAGAAACATCAAAAATCTGAGATGCTTAGTTCATGGGTTTCTCATTGGAATACCCATGACTCCTTTTCATTTCTTGATTCTTTATCTTCCTGACCATTCTTCTGCTAGAATAGAGTTTTTGCTTCACTATTTGGCTCTACATTATAAAAACATAAGGCAGCTTTTACAGAAAAACTGCACTTACATAAATCAAACACTACCTTTGTTCTTCCATATTCACATAACCCTATTTCTTTTTATGAAGCTCACAGCACTGAAAATATTAATTCATTTGAGCTGTTCAAGTTGCACATGTGGGCATGAAGGAAGTACAAGGGTCAGTTTGTGTTACCCTTGCTTATTTGGAAGGTCAAATGAGTGCTGCCTTCAGTGGAACATTTTCTTTCATAAATTTAGGGAATATAAGACAATTTTATTTTAAACTTTCGGGGTCAGTTGAAATTCTGCACATGAATAGAAGAAGGACTAAGAGGTAAAGCTAGCTTTCAGGAGTTAGATCTATCATGCTTTCTCTCAGAAAATAGCACATTTGTACTTAAACTCAAAAGAATCCAGGATTTTTATGTTGAAAGCAGGGTTTGTACTTTAGCTCTATGACCTATTGACTGTAATCATGAGTAAGTCACAGGTTTACAGTTTATTCATCTCCAAAATGGCTAGTTAACTGTATCTTAAGTGAGGTCATGCGTACTATCGCAGCACACTCTAGAAACATCAAGGATTTAATGCTTAGAGATAGGGATTGAATGCTCAATTACAAACTTGTTACTTTTAGCAAATTTCATAATTTTTCTGAACTTTAATTTCTCTTTCTACTCAATGCCTAGCACACAAGATTGTCATTAGGGTTTAATGATTCTATGAAAAGTTTGTAATAGAAAGTCCTGATACTACCTTATCAGTACAATGGTTTGTGCATGGGATAGATAGAAACATTTACTGGCCATGTAAATGGAGACTTTATTTAGATTTATTTCACATACGTATTATTAAAGTTATCTAAAATTCAAACGAAAGGGGTTTGTTAATATGCACCCAGAGAATTGAATACACTACAGAAATTACTAACATTGTTATTATCATAGATACTTGTTTGCCATAAATTATCAGGGAGTAACAAAACAAAACAAAAACCAAAGCAGCATAAACAATTTTTTAAAATTAGATTATTTTAAAATTAAAATCAGATTTTTAAAATTACATTTTCCAAACTCTTCTCAAAATTTATCTTAAGTGTAGTAGGATTATAAGTGAACTTTATTTTCTTTATTTTGGCTTACTCTTGAATAATGAAGCCTTTCATAAAGAAACAAAAAAATATTAAAATGCTAAATAAGATAATAGGGATAAGGCAACTGACCTCCTTCAGCTGAACAGATAACCACGATTTGACTGAAAGGTCCATCTCCTTTATTGTTATAAACGCCAACCTTTACTTCAAAGGGTGTAAGGGGAGGGACGCTTTCATCTCTATAAATAAATTTGGATGCTTCAGAGGATGTCACCATTTTTTCCTTCCAGCCACGTGTTCCATTGGGTCTAAAAGCCACAATATAACCAAAGCCTTCCCCATTCTGAAACTCTTCAGATACTGGCTAAAGAAGGAAAACACAATTATCAGCAAAACAATTTGTAAAAAACCACTTCCTCCAAATCTTTAATTTTTTATTGTTATTTTATGGATAACTAGGGCAAAGGTAAATATCAAATCTATACTACATTGGAAGCCAACATAACAAATGACTTTGGCAGGTTTTGAAAACTTAAAAGAATTTAAAGGTAAAAGAAGGAAAATTAAATTATATCTGTTGGTATGTAAGAAAACTCACAAGAGTATTGAAAACTCTTGAAGTGAAACAAATTTGGTCTCATCAGTCATGTATATAAAAGAAAAGCCCTTGAATTCCACACTAGAATTTAGCATGTTGGGGAAAACTGACATACGGTCTGATATTTGGGAATATCTTGTCACTGGTGCTATTCTGCAGACTACTTTGCACAGTTAATTGAAGAGATATTAAATTAAGAACAACCTTTCAGTGTTCTTTTCAATAGCATCTGTGCTTTATGAATATGCACAAATACTGGACTATGGCATTTTTTTTTTCAAGAAACTTCTTGTGCTATGAGGCTTATGTTTACATTTGTCAAGTGGGCTTCAATTGAATATCACAGAAAGCCATAATTGTAATTGACTAGTTAAAGGAAAAGTTTAACAGCCACTGATGAGCACAGTGCTTGATACATAGTAGACAGACAGTAAACATTTGTAAAGTAGGTTTTCTTTAAAATTTTGATTTGAAGAAAAACTAGGTATCAAATGAAAGAAGAGAGACGAGCCTATTATAATCAAAGTTCATGGGGAAGGGCAAGTCTATTTAGAGAGAGATCATCTCAGTGAAGGTCAGATGTTGAGAAGTTAATACCTCTGCAGAAATAAAAAGCAAGACATGAGGTTTTATTGAGAAAAGGGGAATGGATAGAAAAAACGGGACAGATGATGTGCCTATGGAAGGTTTCTTGGGAAAATATATTTTACTTTACATTTTATATTTGCTCTTAGAAATTATCAGGTATTTGTTCCATTTGTCCAACAAACATTTCAGTGTCTGTATATTCTAAGGCTTAGGTCTGTGAACTACATAGATATATTTGCTATTTGTGTGTGTGGTGCTAGGGATCTAATCCAGGGCTTTGCACATGCTCTGCAAGTGCTCTGCCACTGAGCTATTTTCTCAGTCCCAACAATAAGGTTATTTATCAAAAAGGAAATTGGCTTAGTAAAAAATAAGTAAGTCCCCTTTCATTCTTTTTCTTTTTTCTTTTTGTTTTTTTAGAAAAAGAATATTTTGGAAGCTGTATGACTAGGTAGAAAAAAGAATATAAATGCTTATAAGAAGGGTCCCAATTCTGTTTATTAGGGAGTTTCTTAAAAATTATCTGTTTCATAATTTGTAAAATGAGGACACCATTTCTAGCATGGACTAGGAGGGACAACCTGGACATTGTGCCCCACAGGGGTGATTCATTCCTTCTCCCCAGGACTGTTAGTTCCTAGTAAGTCAAGGTGACTATCTACTGGTCAAATAATTAAATGACAAATGAAGTCAAACAGATCCATGAAGTAATTTGGAATAGGATGTGTTTTAATCATGCAAACTTTGTTTTGTGGTGTCTTATATGACAGGAAAGCATATCTTAGACCTGGGGCCTGGTATGAAAATGAGAGACCTTCGCTTTGGCAATACTTGTGAGAGCAGTACATGCTCTAAGTGCTTAATCTAAAAAGAAACCCATGTGTTTCTTTATACCAGGGCAGCAAGCCTGCATTTCTAAGGAAGTGGGGAATTCTGACATCTTCAGAGACTTTCTTTACCTCCCAGGCGATGACCAGCTCATGCCTTCTTCCACTTCTTCCACTGACATTGGTGGGCGCTGTCTTTGGAACTGTGAGTAAAAAAGGATCAACAGTGAGGAGAGGGAATAGATGTGAGATTTTTCTTACAATACAGACCTATCATGACGGTATTGACTTTTGGTAAAATCCTGAAATAACAAGTCAAACATTGGTTTGAGCTTAGAATGATCATATTAAATATTGAAATAAAACATTTGTGACAGATTATCTGCTTTCAAATCTTTGAGGGACAATTTTTTTTTTAAATTGTAGCTGGACACATTGCCTTTATTTTATTTATTTTTATGTGGTGCTGATGATCGAACCCAGCGCCTCACTCGTGCTAGGCAAGCACTACTGCTGAGCAACAACCCCAGCTCCTTGAGGACAATTTGATAACTGTATTTCATGGTCACATACTCCATCCCCAAACTAGTCTTGTTGTAAATGATCTGTCAGTGATGTTCAAATTATAATGAACATGAAAGCTAAAGACCACCTACTAATGGTTAGAAAAACTCCATCCTTTAAATTGCTTGCTTTTCTCCTCTTTGCCAGTAGTGTGACCCTTTTCTGTCATCTAGAGCTTACAGAATCCCTGGAAAACCCACTGGTTGACACCAACATTACTGTATTACCAGAACCCCCCAGTAAGACCCAATTTAAAGAAATCTTAGCAACAATGCCACAGAAGGAGAATCTATTTTAATGCACATTTAAAGAAAACCTGTCAAGAATCAATTTCTCTACAAACTGCAAAATATATAGGCCCTCAGTGAAACTTTTTCAAATGAATAACTATTAAAAGAATAAAAGTGTCAAAGGAATAAATTTCTTCTTCACTGTACCAAACCACAAAATCTGCAGTTGAATGGGAACATTGTCAAATGAAGAACTGTTAAATGAAGAAAACTATTAAAAGAAATCATTTTCCAGGCTATGAGCCTGCATTAGCAATTTTACACTTCACCATTGCCTTTCTATCCTAGCATATAGTTTTAAAATGATATTGATATACTCATAAACAATGAATTCACTCCCATATATTACCTACTCAGATGACAGGCTATTAATTACTGCTAGATATTCACGCAGCATTTTATATGCTAGAAAAAAAACTGAAGGGAGAATTTATATAGTACTAGAAAGGAAAAATTAAAATTCTACTTGGGCCAGGGAGATGAGAGAAAAAAAGCCTGTTAATATATAATATATAATATAAACAGCAATAGTTACTAGTCTTTTTTTTCCTTTCACTGTTACATGCATACTAAAGATTTTTTTGCCCATGGAGTTCACTTTCATGGGTTCCCTAAGAATTACATGGGGTTAGATAACCTTTATTCTCATACAAGAAATTGTATGGTGTTCAATTGGGAAAAAATGGTGGTATTGCAGAAAACACTCTGAATATGTCTTAATTCATATGTATATCAAGCAAATGATTTATGAACATGAGTTTTTAAATTAATAGTTAGAGTTAATGTTCATGAGTAGCAACCTGTGATGTGTCAGTATGCCTCGAGACCATGTCTGAAAAGCCACTGTAACATGGTGTACTAATTGTAAGTTTATTTTCTGGCTTATGATATGGGTAATACAGCACATGAGAAGTGAGCTGGTTTTAACTGTATAAAAAGAAAGAAAACAAGGTGTCATATAATCCCTCAGTGGCTAATCTGAGTTTTGAATATTCTGATTGTCCATAGCCAAATGAATAGTGGAGACAGAGTAATTTATCGATATCAAACCATTATGGCTTGTCTTTGTACCATTTGTTTAAGAAAAAACAAACATGCACTTCACATTTATCTCACAACTCACATTTGAATAATATTATGCATAAGATCTATCAAGTCAAGTTCCTTTTCTGTTACACTGGACTGCATTTATTTCCTAAATTTAGGGCTCTAAGGACACAATCCCTAAAAGTATGGATTTCTATGGGAAGACTATGCACTGAAGATCCTGTTCAATTTTGTTTAGTTCTCTGACATCACCTAAAAAGAGGCTGCTCCGAGACTCTGGATGGGAGTTGTGGAGTAGGCTGTGGGATCCCTGGAGCCCATTGTAAGACTGGAGGAGAATGCAGTGGGAGAAAGTATTTGAAATCAAAACCTCTGAAACTTTAGTGTATTATTCTACAGTCTATTAATGCTTTTATGTTTTAGAAAGCTTATTTAAATTGTTTAAAAGTTTTAATTTTCTGAGTAAAAAAACTGGTGAATATTTTGTAGAAACTTTCACTTTGAGAAGACAAAAAAACAAAGCTTTCTCTGATTTGATTAATTTCTATTTGGATAATTTCCCAGTTGAATTATCTGTAAAAAACCAAACAACAAAACAAGACAAAAACAACCCCAAGTGCATAAAATTTCTTGTATTCAAAATCAAGCTGCTAATTTCTTTTTATTTATTTATTTTTTGGTAGTGGGGATTAAACCTATGGGTGCTTGAACACTGAGTTATGAGCTACATCACCAGTCCTTTTTATTTGAGACAGAGTCTTCTAATGTTGCAGAGGCTGGCCTTGAACCTGTGATCTTCCTGCCTCAGCCTCCTGGGTCTCTGAGATTACACCACACCTGGCATACTAATTTCTTTTTAAGACAAGATAGCCCATAGTTAGTGTTAGAGTGACATAAGGAGGATGTTAGTTCCTATCTCCAATTTTAATAAACCTAAGTGATATAGCAAGAGGCATTATGGCTTACTATGTTTTAATAATATTTGTGAAAAAACACCAACTGCTCCTAAACTTAAAAAGCTTATTATTAGATATACTGGGAAGTACTACTAGAAAATATAAGGCTTTAATAACTACAACTCAGGCATTATATTTTGTTGTAAGGATCATACTGTTTGGGCAGTCTAATTCTAATTGGCTTAAATTTCCTAATTATGTGCAGATGATCAGTGAAGCCCAGGCTCATTCATTTCCTTTTCAAGTTGGTGGTATATAGTTATAATCTCTGCAGTAAATTCTATGGAGTCTACTGATTTTAATTATAGCCCTTTATTTATAAAACAGCATTACTTATGATATCAAGGAATTTGACTTAATCTTTCAGAGCCCTTCTGGTGTAATAGTCCTATAATTCTTGTTAGAAGCATAAAATTAATGCAATGAAACATCTAGTAAATGCTTTCATTGAGTACAGAGAAATACATATTTTGTTAAAACCAAATATTTTCAGTGGCATTAATGAGAACCTGATTTATATTTAAGCAGTGAGGTCATTTTTCCCTCAGCCACTGATAATGTCATGAGCATGTTAGCGTAGACAATCAAGTTTACATGCATGGTTAGCAGGTTAAGCCCTGATTCTTCTGAATTTATTTTTGGGCAGTGATCCTCCATGAATGGATAATGTAATTGATACTTTGCCCACAAGCTACAAAGGCTTAACTGTTTGAGGTCTTATCTGGCATGTTGAACTATAGACTATTGACTCTTTTCATCTTTAACTTTGAAAACATTCTTGTAAATACTCAGAATAACCAAAATGTAGTATACCACCTCAGTTTAAGCATGTCTAAATATTTTTGTAGTATACCACCTCAGTTTAAGCATGTCTAAATATTTTTGTAAGTACAACAGTTAGAACAAAGTGAGCCACACTATCAACATGACTTAATAACTAAGCAAAACAAGATGAAATCATTTACCCATCTTTTTTCCCCCACTGTGAAAAATTTCTAGTTTTCTTACTGCAAGTGTTTAAATGACTTATTACATAATAAGCTTTATCAGAGACTGTGAGAAGTGATGTGTAATTTAGGAGCTCAGTGGTTATTGACTAGTTTGGAAAGAAGGTACAGGAGAATGGAAAGACAGGAGGGAGGTTGTTGATACAGTAAAGGTGGGAGGGGAGAGGGACATTTAAACATTTTTTTCCCCTACTAGAATTTAAGTACAAGGCACATGGATATTGCTATTAGTTATCATTTAGGCTGAACTTTATAGAAAAAGTGAAATTTTTAAAGTTTCAAAAAATACCAATGGTGTTTCCTAAACAAATTCAAATCCTGCTTTTGTTCTTATGAATAGAATAGATAAGAGTGTATACAAATAGTAAAAAGGTTCTTGTGAGAGAAAGATCTGGGTGTGGTCCTAGTTGTACCACTCTCATTCCTGTCACTCATGAAGATAATTGTACCTACTTAAAACATATTTTTGTAATTATTTATCACAATACCTGGATTTTGAAAAATACTACTTATTATAATTTTCTTTCAAAATTTTAATTGGTTCTTTTTAGTTATACATGATAGTAAAGTCCATTTTGATAAAAATTATACATGCGTGGAATATATCTTATTATAATCAGAGCCCCAGTCTTGTAGTGGGGACACACTGTAGTGTATTCACATATGTAACTCGGAAAGTTATATCAGATTTTTTTCCATTGTCTTTCCTATTTCTATCCTCCCTCCCTTTCCTTCATTCCCCTTTATCTATTCTATTGAACTTCTTCCCCTCCACCCCTTATTGTGGGTTAGCTTCACATATCAGGGAAAACATTTGATCTTTGGATTTTGGGGATTGGCTTATTTTACTTAACATGATACTCTTCAGATCCATCCATTTACTGGCAAATGTCATAAAGTCATTCTTCTTTTTGGCTGAATAGTATTCCATTGTGTATATACACCACAGTTTCTTTATCCATTAATTTGCTGAGGGACGTTTCAAATAGCTCCATAGCTTAACTGTTTGTGAACAGTGTAGCTACAAAACATTGATGTAGCTGCATCACTGTAGTATACTGATTTTAAATCCTCAAAAGAGAAAGTGGTGACATCCAACAGGCACTAATATTCAGCAGGAGTCTATGCATGTGTGATCTTGAAAATACGATGTCTTTCTTGGATATGTGGTTAACCCTGTTTTGATGTTACCATGGGACTTATGATTTTAGTTTTGGCACAGCTGGCTTTATGTATGTATGTATGTGGTGCTGGGGATTGAACCCAGGGCCTTGTGCATACAAGGCAAGCACTCTAACAACTGAGCTATATCCCAAGCCCCACAGCTGGTTTTAATTTG